GTTATTAAGCATCCTTTTTTGGGGATGCCCGGTGGCCGAGGGGAAGACGTGTAGTGGCGTGAAGCTAGGCGATTAGGTGCCGTACGCGAGCGCCGGTTCGAGTCACGCACGCAGTACGTATTTACTATAATTAGACATAGTCTTTACCTTGCCGTTTATTCGGTGTTATTTGCTTACTTTACTTCCTATGTCGACAGCAACTATGAGTTTAAAAATTATTTCTCAGTACTTATTCACTGTTAAAATGCTGTACCATTACTTTCACCATCCTACTACAGCCAGATCTGAAGGCCTTTGCCGCATTCTGGCCATGCTGTGTGGCGCGTATCGCGTGGACGGGTTTCACGTTCTCTGCACGTAATAAGCTCGGTTATTAAGCATCCTTTTTTGGGGATGCCCGGTGGCCGAGGGGAAGACGTGTAGTGGCGTGAAGCTAGGCGATTAGGTGCCGTACGCGAGCGCCGGTTCGAGTCACGCACGCAGTACGTATTTACTATAATTAGACATAGTCTTTACCTTGCCGTTTATTCGGTGTTATTTGCTTACTTTACTTCCTATGTCGACAGCAACTATGAGTTCATGTTAAAACTCGACATGTTTAATCATTGAACGACATTTTCAGATTTCTTCCTACTCGTTCCTGCGTTCACTCAGGCTGGTATCTGAATATCGCGTTGGGACGCCGGGTAAACAAACACGGCTGGAAGCGTTGTTACGATCTGTAATAATATATACTAGTATTCGAGTTGAACAATGCCCATTGTACCAACAGTATCACTAGTACACCGCGTCGATGTCGTCGTTTTTTTCTTTATTCCTTATGTTTTATAAAAAAAAAAGTATTCAGTTCAACAAGTTGCGTCTTGATTTATCACATATCTATAGTCGTACACTTTAAGTAGTAAGCAATTCAAAAATAGTCTAAAAATAAATAAATCAATTTTAGCTCCTTATCGTCGTTAGTATGAAGATCGGTGTTGTCACAGCCGAGGGACAAGTGGGGGAGAATATCGTCGTTCATACGAACAGAGATTTACTAGTATATTGATATTTACCACCTGCTACGTGACGTAACTGGACCTTGGTTGTAAATGAGGTAGTATCTCAGGTTTAACCATGCATCGCACTGAAATCCGAACAATGGTTTTGAAATCAGTGGGACAACAATAGCTGCATGTTTATGTCGTGTAAGAAAAGGTACATGCGTGCAAATTCGTACATACTACATGGTTCTCGGTTAAAGGGCGGTAGTCGTCACGCCACGCATGCGTGTGATATATGGGTCTCATATAAACAAATATGGCTACTTTGACCGTTGCGCAGATCAACGAGTACTAACTGAGACGTTTCCAAGCTTCAATTAGATATTTTTAGGTGATTGGAAGGTATCAAGGGAGTCACCGGCGGTATTCAGTGCAAGTCGCGCCCAGGTCAAACCTCATACTTGTGATTTCCATTTGAGAGCATTGGATTGTGGGAAAGTCAATGCTTATAAACACAAATGTCGCACATGCCCAGCGTGACGATCACCGCGCTTTAATGTTTAACAATGGCATCAACTCAACCTTTGATTCAAATGGATTTCGTCATACTCGTAGATAGCATTGTTTGTCACGTATCGCTCCAGTGTGACGTACTAAAGAGTAGGCCGAAAATGCCCACCACATGTGACCTCACATACTTTTATTTTCTCGTGATTACCACCAGAGTAGCATCAATTCTCGCCTGTGTTTTCGGATTGATACAACACAACAACACACTCGTGTCAGTGAAGCCAACATAAGAGAAAATGTCGTGGGATTATATATAATTACCATTTTGATAATTGTCTAGAGTTATATAGATTGAGACGCGCTAAAAATGCAGTAGTCAACAATATAGTGATGCAAATACTATTTTCTAAGAATGTTACTTATATCTGCAACAAAATTCTGAATAACCCACGGAGGAAAATTTGCTAAAATATTCCCCATTGCTCGGCAAAGACTCGATTTCCACCCGCATTCGAACACCCACCGAGTGACAACAAACTCCTTGAAAATACTACAACCTGCTTAACGAAATATGATACTTTTTGAGTCTTGCACGCTCGTATGGTGACACGAATTTTTACAAAATGAAAAAAAAAAGTTCACCAAGTCTAACAATGTGTACCGCGGCAGTGGTGCCAACTCTACACTGTTCATCGTTACGCATCCGATCTAACTGTGAGCATTTTAAATTTGTCTTAAAATGTATAAAATCAGAAGTACAGAAGAGGCATCTACGCATGTTACAAAATGAAACATTGCGAAAAAAATAAATAAAATATCTTGTCCTGAGTATATTGACTATTTGGACCCGAAATGTAGGTAGACTGCGGCGGTCAAGGATTCTTTCAAATCACAGTCACCAGAATTTACATTTTGTACTATTTACCCTTTCTTTCATGAACCGCGGCGATTGGTAGAAAGCCCCCAGGCTCCAGTCTTGTGGGCGGACTTATCTAATAACTAATATACATCCGCCAACAGGAAGCGATCATTAACTACTAGTATATAACATCGTATTGTAAACTTGAGTAGTGTATTACACATCTGTGACATTTGGTGGTACGGACTTCGTGTTTGTTATTCGAGTCACGCTCCAATGCCTACTCGGACGTACATTTATATATAATATAGTCACGTCGTGTATGTAGTGCTCTCAACTATTAAGAGTGTCCCACGAAACAAACAGAAAGGGAGAAATTGCGGCTTCTTGACCGGATTTGATTTTACTGCACCACTCGTCTGTCTGAGTACGCGACACAGTCTTACGCATAATATCGTATATGCACAGAATATTGACAAGAGTTCTCACCAGCCCTCATTGTGTGCGAGACAAACATCTTATACTAGTAAATGTAAACCTGACTTTGACATTTAGAACAATATTGTCCTCGTACAAATATAATGTCTATAGTGTGTGTGTATGTTTACTTACTTACAGTCGACGACTGAAAACATTTCATTTCACCGTGTGTGTACTGACATTCCCAACAAGACGTGGACATTCGTATGTGTCCCTGCATCGCCGCTGCACGGTGGAAGTTAGTACACATTATAACAGGTTTCAACGATTTTCTTACCTTGTTTGTTTGATTTCATCATTTCCTCTTTACTGGGACCAACCACTGTGACCGTTGTTCTCATACACCCCCGTGTCACGTTGCTTGATATACTGGTGTGTGTACTGACTCGCGTTCGAAAGTCGACTGACCCAATAGCCACAGTTCACCACGATAGGGCGCTCACGCCACTAGTCAACTATCATTGTACCATACATGGTTTAACCACTAGTAAATAATGCAGATAGTCAGACATGCCAAGTGTGTATTATAAGTTCGATTTCGCAATTAAAATATAACACCTAATATGAAGGTTGGAATAATATGTCATCTTCTATATCTTTTTTATGATTATGGGTTATTATTATAAGAAAACAAAAAATGAAATTGGAAAATCGGACAATTTTTTCATTGATTTCTATGGTAAAGTTATTTCTTTATTACTCAAAATGTTGCTCAATGACATATATTGCATATTATTATTGATATGAATCCTAATTTAGTCGTCTTCCGGTGTGATAATAGTGTTGTACAATAGTAGTTATGTCCCATAATGCATTGCACATATGAGCAATAAGTAACATGCTATGAAGTGTACACTGTTGATCAAAAGATAACACCGCTGATTCTGAACACCTAATATGTGAGGGCGCACTTCATTGACTGACGCACAGAAAATATATATTCAAACCTCAGCGATTTCATATCATCGTTTCTTCAAAAATGTCGTGTTCGGTTATCCATTTTCTATTTTCCCATAATGCATTGCATATATTTGCAATAAGTAACATGGTCTGAAGTTTGAATTTTATTCGGCACGAACTGATCAAAAAATAACACCACTAATTCTGAACATCTAATATGTGAGGGCGCACTTCATTGACCAACGCGCAGAAAATATACATGTACATGTATATTCAACAATTTCAACTCTGCGTCGGTTTCTTCAAACATGTCGTGTTCGGTTATCCATTGTCTATTTTGATACGAAATGACAAACAAACAAAGAAAAAAAAACGTCAGAAGTCATTTCATAACCTACGAATGCGAAACGATTTGACAATGCACGTTTGTTTGCACGACCTTAGAACGCGCACTGTGGCGCTGCATGGCGACCGTGGCGTTGCATGGCGACTGTGGCGCTGCATGGCGACTGTGGCGTTACATGGCGACTGTGGCGCTGCATGGCGACTGTGGCGTTGCATGGCGACTGTGGCGCTGCATGGCGACTGGGACATTGCACGCCGACTATGGCCCTTATGATGAGTGTAGCACTGCGTGGCGACTGTGAGGCTGCGGATGACCGTGGCGGTGCGCGACGAGTGTGACGCTATACAAGTGCAATGCGACTAGCTTTTCTATTATTTTTTTCACTTACTTTATCTGCGCAGTACAATTTATAGACCTAGTACGTAACAAACTTAGGAAGTAACTCAGATGGTATCCCGGATGTACAACAGTCACATGGCAAATACATGTTATGTATGTTGAACATTAAATCGGTCGAAGATTAATATTTGGTCAAATCGACACAATAGTTGGAAGAGTACTTTCAAAATGTTTTAATTTAATTTTTGAATAGGGTAAACAGGAACATTAACTAACCTCAAAGTCGATTGTTCAATGTTTAGCTCATTTTTCTCGAATTTTATTTTCAACCAGACTACAGATTAAATGTAATTTTAAATAGTTGACTAATGCCAAAATGATCAATGACACACGGATTCCAACATCGGATATAAATTCGAATTCGCGCATGCGTGTAACTCGGATCCGCCGGCTCCCTGATATTAGTGACCCCGAACAAATGCAACCGATGACGATGGATGGTGTCAGCTGTAGCAGTAGAAATGTCGTGGACGCTTCGAAAACATGTCGCTTTAGGTATTGCTCTGCAGTTACTCGTGCTTTTGGCAATGTTGTCATGGTTATTACAGCAAGGGGTCATGTTTCGTACAAGGATAGGCGTGAGTACATTTCAGACGCAAGAAGTAGATGTCGCGAACGAGGATGGGACATTTAACACGGAGAATATTTCCCTGGCGCTGGTGAGTAGTTTCCCGTCCAATAATACTCGAGTATCATATACGACGTCGTACAACAATGATATACCAGGAAGCTGTAATGAGCAGTTCCCTGGATATATAAACTAAACTGAGGATGTGTTTTTTTTATTTCGAAATGATACAAATAAAAGTATTTTGTATAAAACTGTGATAGAATATTGTTTTACGCTATCACTCCCGGTAACATGGCAACCGTCGACCCAACAAACGTGCATACATAACCTTGCCTGCAGATTTGTTAAGGTTTTTGGTATCGATTTTACTCTCCTTATTTCATTCGATCAAATATTTGTTATTTGATTATTCATCCTGCGATTAATAGTGAATTACGTTAATACGGAAATAATATCCCCTACGCCTACCTTATCGTCATCTGGTATTTGTATTACTAGTAAGTGTGTACAGTCACACGCGGTGTCATATTGATGTTTGAATAACATAAGTGTGGTTTGTTCTTTAAAGAGAGAGCACTTTTGCAAATTGCAGGGGTCGAACGCTTGCAGCATCTTCAAAAAAAGATAAGTATTCGTGCCGCAAAGTGACTGACTGGTTGATTGGCGCATGCGCGATGAACTGTGATCTTGGACAATCACGATAATCACTCTTCTCATTCTCTAATTTGTGCAATGATTATATTGTGTGATTTGAAAACTGGTACACTCAAATTTTGCCTGTTAGAGACAGGTTTTCTGCGTTGTATATGGCGTGAGATACACGTGACTGCTAGGAAGGTCGCCGTCCTGGTACTGTCTGGGAGAGGCAATTTTCTTTTTCAGAAAACAAAACAAAAAAAAAAAAAAAAAAAAAGTTGTCATTGAAGTTTGTAACTAGGCAAAAAATGAGATATATTATTTTAAATTATTGACGTTAAGATGATGCCTCCGAAAAATTCCCGGATGTATGACTTTGAGGAGTCGTACATACTACCAAGTCATAGGTGACATATAAACAATATATTTATATTTCTCCACTCTAGGCTCCATTCACTAACTTCGGCAACTCGTCATCCAGTTATGGGCAACACATTTCGGTGAACGATCCTCGTCCGCGAGACATTGGAATAAACTCGACAGCCATCACTTACCAACCTCGTCCAAGGAAGCGATATTTGTTGCCAGTGATTCACACAGGTGGTCAAAACGTGCAATTCACCTCCTTTAAGAAAGCAACGGCGTTTGCGTACCTCCAAAACAGGACAATTGTTCTCGCGCCGTTCTTCCTTCACGGCGGCGACCAACGAGGCTGGAATATGCGTCACTGGCGTAACTTTAGTTTAGCCTTCGATGTTGATATCCTAAATCAAATTGTCCCAGTAGCCTCGCTGAATGAATTCAAATCGGTCTGCGACGGCCGAATGAAAGCCATTCATCCAAGTAACGATCGTACTTTTAAAGCCAACAAGACTCTCGAACGATTCCTGGAGATTGAACGAGCGCCGAAGAAATACACGTTCAAAACACCCCCATACGCATACGATAGTCATATTCTTGAAGAAGAACCATGCCTGGCGATTCTTCTACCTCATTATCTTAATCCGCCGGAAAAGGAAGTAGGAGATTTGATTGACAACCACTTCGTCAGGTCGCCAATCATCCAAGAGGCAGTAGATTTCGTGTTGGACAATGTTTGTCAAGGTGGCCGCCTGATGGCGCTGCACTGGAGAAATCGTACTGGAGAAGCGTAAGTAAGAAAGCGGCCATTGAGCCCAGGACTTCCGATAGGATGCGAACGTTTGGTTGAATGTTTTTGATCCAAACTGCATTTAAATTCCACAGTCGTCAACACACATTCTGTCCATGCGACGCGTATAGGGCGTGTAAAATAAACAAATATCAAAAATCAACAATGGCTATGTTAAAGAAATATATCACATTTCAAAATCCGGATTATTGAAATAATTCAGACTAATATATATCACTAACCTTAGAAGATTGAGATATGGCATAAGTTCACCATAGAAACCAATTATTACAAACAAAATTTTCCAATGCTGACAGAACGGCTACCATTCACTAAAATATAATTCTCTCGAATAATATAATAATGACTCCAGGCAACACAATCAAGTCTTTATCATGGAAGCCTAGACTGCATCTTATTGTAGTACTGATTCTGTTCACAAGTAATCTAAATGAATGGATAGATAGTTGATAATATTTAGTAATTTTTGTCCTAAGTAACTATTAAAAATAGCTAGACGTTTCAAGCAATGTCTCTTTATCGACAAACAGCTCGAAACGTTCAGCTATTTTATCCCTAACCTAACTCTAACACTCACTCCCAGTTACCCAATTTATTTGTATATACCCCCTCTAGATAACTATATATGTCCTTAGGAGGGGCATGTACAATTAAATGGGGAGTGCTGGAGGGTAGGGGTAGGGTTAGAGTTATAAAAGAAACTCTTTCCTTATCTACTATATATTCAATTTATCGGTCCGAGCAGCGTTTAATCTATTTACTACTAAATTAATGGAACCCGTTGCTATGATACATGTACAATTATTCAAGATCACGCAGTCTGGCCTCGTGCATGTCACGAGAGGAGTTCCAGGGGATCACTTGTAGAAACTTGAAAACTAGTATGCGCGAGGCACCGAAGGGGTCAATAAAATATGTTTCAAAATTTGCAAGGATCCCCTTTTGACATTTTCAATGGTCAAAAGGTCCTTTTTGACATTTTCAGGTATATAAAAGGGGTCGTATTTCTGCTGTGTAGATATAAAGTATCAAACAACGGAAGTCTTCTAGTAAAAAAACCAAAACAAATGAAAATATAATCTCCAATCTACATTTAATTACGATTTAATTAATTAATTAATTAAAGAAATTTCGAATTTATGCTTCCATATTAACATAAAACAAAAATAATATGGCGCAAGAATAGGTATTTGGCAAATAAATAGTAGCGTATTTATTAATAATAATGAACGCATGCAACACGTGGCGATGATGTCTAATCTAGTGGTTTGAAGGCTTCGCCGCATTTAGATGTGTCATCACTAAGTATTATATTATATGATAAAATACGCTTTCAGTATGTGACAAGCCTAGCGACCTTAATGTCAGCCAGAAGAGTCAGCTGCCGACATTTGTATATTTAAAAACTCAGATCATGCCACGTATCACAATAAATCTTATATACATTGATACGTGGGTTGCTTTTTTTAAAAGGGCGATGGACGTGAATTCATTCACAGCGAAGTTTTCGATCATGAGAAATTACGTATTGAAAATGTAAAATTAATTATCATTTTCAGTTGTTTCCCAAAATTTTCATAATACTTGTATTTCAAAGTTTGATGTATCTATATTTTCGTACCTCAAGTATTTCCGAAGTTAGTGATCGACTGCCTGCGTTCGCTCAGATGATCCAGTTACCGTTATTTAATGTCATTTCTATACGGAATTGCACGTACTGGTTTTGCATGTCATGCCACGAAAAGTCTTCACATCGAATCACCAGTACGACCGTTCCGGGATGACCTTTCACCTTTTACGCATTTGTTGTGCACTGAAATAAGTACTGTGACGTAAAGGTGTAAATAATTGGCAAACCTACAAACCTACAAGAATCTACATGATGTCAGTCTGTAAGCACGTGATCTGGCATGCGATTTTTTTGGGATATTAAAGTTAATATATCTAATATAAGTGATTTTCCATTAGTTGATGCATTCGATGACTTTTGCCAAAAATAATCGACATTATAGTGGTAACAAATGCACTATATATGTTGCACTTTTCTAATCAGAAATTCTCGCTTACTTTCATCCTGTGACAATATAATGCTTGTGAGGCTTCAGTCATGTGTTATATGTTATCCGTAATATCATCTGTGGTTCGAATAATAAGGTGTGCGTGTCTTACTTGTGATTCCATGCATTAAATAAATTGTTTTCAGTATGACGTGAAAAAAAAAGACGAATAAGTAATGCAAATCTCTAAAATTGTTGAACTAATTAATTTGGAATATCAAATCGTCGAAATATATGCGCATTGGTGTCACTCAGATTTAATATATTCTCTTCTGAATTTTTAATATTTATTGAAACTATGACGCTATGAATTGTAATTCAGAATACTGCAATGTTTTGATCAATATGTGGTATGTCATGAGCGACCCGTTATTGTAAGATCGATTATAGCAAGTATCTCCTATAAAAAAAAAACGTAACGCTTTCAAGATGCATTGATATTATGATTGCTAATCAATTCGAACCGTGGTCTTTACACAATTCGTGAGGAATTGTCACCAGGTGTACATGAAACCAAATTTCGGTACGCGGACAAGCTGAGGTTAGAGAAATTATGTCTCTTGATATTCAGTAAAAGGGGATCTCATTTTTGTCACGTCGTTCGGTACGTCCACATCCACAACCATAATGTCATGCGTTCATGCTTACGTTACACACATATCCGGTATGTGCGCGCATGCAAAACGTCCTATCTTTAACTTCCGGTCACGTCATGTGATCCAACTATATCATCAGTGGGCGGCCGCGGCGTTTCTTGAAACTTTTTGGGGAGCGTGTTACTCTGTAACAGCAGTTGTGTCCAACATTGTGCCCCAGATGTTTTTCAATTTCAATAAAAAATGCATGCATGGGGAAGGGGTTAATTCAGAAATTGTTATTGATAGTGAATTTATAAACTTGTAAATTACCCGGATGTGCAACATTTCGGGGATTTCATGCATCCGGTCTGTGTTCATTGTTATCTTCTCTCTACAGCTGCGTGCATTTCTGGAGGCGGGAAGAAGTAAAGAAGGAGTGTATGAAGATCATACCGGAAGCTGCTCAAATCGCCAAATTTATCTCGCAGCCACTGAAAGCGTTTATGGATCGAGAAAATTTCGCGTGTATGTATGTAGCTCATCCAAATTTTGCCAAGGTGAGACCTTACATCAAAATCAGGTGTCACGACCGCCCTCTATCAAGTTTGCTTTGTATTCAAATTATTTAATACAGCAATAAAAAAGATATAAGTTAAATGTACAACATTAATTAAATAATGTATCCCAATGTATGCATTAAAGGTTGATTGGAACAATAACACTTCCTGAAAAACTAAACATTTCCCCGTTCTACTATATGCGGCACACTTTATAGGTGCGCAAAATTGCAAAAAAAAAAATTCGTGATGACTCAACTTGTATATATCCATTACCACTATATCGAATCGGAGTGCGGCACAATGAATGTCAATGAGTACACCTTTCTTTGAACCCGCGCCCTTTAACGACGAAGCGGAAGCATAACTATGTGACTAAGGAATGACGTAACTCAGGGTTGTACTAATGTCACTGACATTGATAATGTTGTTCATTAGCATTTGTCGTTTTAAATATAGCAAACCTCGCACAAATACTATATTTTAATGACATTATCGACGGTGTCAATGCACTTCATTTTTCCTTTACGCCACAAAACTGCTCGTCTGTAGAGGGCGCGACCTAATGTAACGGTGCATTATGTTTTTTTTTCTATACTGAGTTGACTTCAATAATTTTAAACACAGAAGAACCGAATCCAAAACCACAATTAACAATAACATGTATTCATTCCAGGACGTCATGATGTACTTGAAAGAAACGATACCAGAAGATCGTTTGATTGACTCTGATATCACAACAACGTGGAATATGTCGGCATTTAGGCAACTGAATGCTGATCCGTTTCAGATGTCACTGTTCGAACAAGAGATATGTTACAGTAAGTGAACAGTGCCCTCTAACGAGATGCATACAAGATATGCCGTCGCGTTTACATGGGGTTAAAGGGCGGTGGCCGTCGCGTCAAGCATGCGCGAGATATGGATCTCATATAAACAAAGATGGCGGCTTTGACTGAGACGTATCTAAGTTTCAATTAGGTAATTTCCTTAGTGATTGTAAAATATCGAAAGAGTCACAGACGGTAATAAGTACAAGTCGCGACCAGGTCAAAACTCTTTCTCGTGATTTAATTAGAAGAGCACATTGGATTGTGGGAATTTCAATGATTATCAAATGTCGCACATGCGCGGCGCGACAACCACCACCCTTTAAATTCTCGGTGCCAAATACAACGAATGATGTTAATTTTTTATAGCAAATAAGGGTGACACATGTCAAACCGGTATACTAGTATATATAAATAAGACAACGTCAATTATTTGTTAGGTCGTCTAGGCGGGCTACTAACTTGGAAAAAAATAGTAGAACTAGCACAATAACATTTAGTCTGTGTACCTCGAGATACTCTCAATTTCGCGATTTACTGATCGCAAAACTTTGTAACTTGACTTATCCGTAACACTAGTTAGAAAGGCAATATTAATACGTTATATATGACTCATCATGACACGTGATTCGTCGTTATCCATGTACCCGGGTACATGTCACTAAGACAAACATGAATCAATGAATATGTTGTTATTCCTTACAGGGGCCGATTTATTTCTTCGACCAGTCGTCTCGAATTGGTCAGATTTTATTGAAGAGCAAAGACTTCTGATTGGAAAAAAGACAACAAGAGTTCGTGCAATAGCAGGGTTGGATTCCCACGCGGGAAGGACTGTATCTAAGCGATATGAAAAATATTTGTAATGATGACGTCATCTTGAATCTTTGACGTCACGTGTCTGTATTTACCCCCAGAACTTTTGTTGCACGTGGCGACTACGCTGTGTGGAGCCAAGTGCAAATAAAGAGTTGAGATAGTCTGTCTTGTACGTAATCCGATCACTTGGAATATGTTAATTACACTCACTGTCCGTCCACATATGGAATAAATTTGCATAGATTTGCATAAATCTACGAGAACAGTGCGTTGCCAAGTTGTGCTATTATCATGACCGGTATATCGATTATGTCTAAGAAATGGTTGCAGTTATATACAGTAATAAAATATTGCAGGAATATCACTATTATAAATTATAAATCACCAATATCGGAATTAGAGATTTAATGACGTCATAGCTTCACATTATAACATGGTACATTCATTTCAACCAAAAGCCCCTGAAATGAATCATTCAGCTTCGTCTTCAGCTTAATTTACCAAAATAGCTGTGTGTATGTGTGTGTGGAGGGATTCATTGTAATTGTTTAAATGTAACATAAATCACACGTGTATCTACCTCAGACAATACAACACACCATTAACATGGCTAGGTTAGTTTGAGTGATATCATATAAATCATAATCATATCAGTATCAGTATATCATCCTTATATTATATAATATATCTCATAGTACTAGTATATCATTCTCAAATACTAGTAATATAAAAATATATCACACTTTACCATTGACAAATAACACCCACAGTACTAGATTTTCGTTCTCACGTGATATAATATATATATCAATCTCATATGATATAACATATCGTATATCAATCTCACATGATATAACATATCGTATATCAGTCTCATATGATATAGATATATCACAGTATATCATTTTCACATGATATATCATAACACAGACATATTTAGATGTAGATAATACTTTTTCCTGCTATATTATCATCACAATACTACATTATCACACATTTCGTGCATAAATGAAATAAACATGGACAAAATATTTCCACTTTGAAAAAATAGAGTGTTATATGCCAATGTTTAATTTTCTTTAATATGTTCGAAGAGCCGAATTCGAGATTATATGCTATGTTCGTCAAACTTTCATTATTATGGGTTCACACCCTTAGAGTGACGAAAATAAAAACAAGAATTGGGGTAACCGGACAATTTTTTAAGATAGAAGAGTCACAAATGTCATGCAAACCGGTCGCATTTTTACGCTGGTTTCTGTGGTGCGATTATTTCTTCATATCTCACAATTTTGCTCGGTGGTAAAAGTCATACATTATTATTGACATGAAACCAAATATTGTTAAAACTTTGCAGAAAATAATAATAGATAATTGTGATGTCCTTTCCCATAATGCATTGCACATATGTGCATTGACATACTCAGTTGAGCAAAATTTCAATTTGGCTCAAACTACCTTAATGTTCCTGGTATGATTTGTTCTTGCATTTCTCCCTAAATACATATCTTCGCCAAGTCAACCTTGGACGAATAACTACTACTACTACCCAATCAAAGACCTTTTTTTCGACATTCAGTCCAAGACGTTCTTATTATGTTTCTAATTAGCGTTTATTCTAGATATACATATATATTCATCCTCTGTGGGCAGAATTTGGTTGCATGATTTGAAGTTTCCTTTTTTTCTATTTTTTTCTGTTTTACATTATATGTAGAATTCATGATAAATAAACTCATATTTTACAACACATTTGTCTACGAGCCCTTGATTTTATATGCCCTTATTATTAAATAGGGTCCACTGTCAGAAAATAGCTCACAATGTCTCTGACACCACATGACAAAGGAAACTATATAAATCTTATCTGTAAATCAGCATTCTTCCCTATCCCGAACCACAAAAAACGTAAAATACACAAACGACGCGTTTCAATTACACATCGATACGTTAATAAAGTCTAAGCTGAATAATTGTATAGTGAAATGCAGAGAAAGTTTTACCATACATTATAAACATATTTATATAATAATTGGTAAATAACGATTTTTAGCTTTATTCAAATACTGAATAATGATTGGTCCGAGAGCCCCACACTGTCTACGCCCATAATGCGCACAAGTGACATAATAACCGTGATCGCCCATTTATTCAAAATGAATAAGTTGTTATTAAAGGGCAGTGGTCGTCGCGCAGCGCATGTTCTAATTTCATGTAAACAAACAATGTGTTTTAAACTCGTTGTGTACGTCGCTATGAGTCCCATACCGAACAGGCCGCGGCGCGACGACGACGACGACGACCACTACCACCCTTTAATTAGAACTCACGACGATGTCGCCATATCGTCTCTGGATTGGACATTTTTGATTTTATAAACAAATATATATTATAAAACGTTCATAACACTCCCGGATTTATGCCTTTCACTGTAACAGACACACTTGCTACTATCGACAAACTCTAACATATACAAAATGTACTTACATTATACTTCATAACTCACCTCCTTGTTATTTTCATCACTCCCCAAATTATATGAGCCGACACGTAATCTTAGTTTAAAAACACAGTTACTTCTTCAAAAACATAATCTTTGTTTAATCTTCACGTGGGAAACGCTGGAATGACTTACCCACGGATCTTGAACAGTGTGGGGCTGTTATTCAAAAAGAAACTTAAAACATATCTTCTTACATAACACCAAGCTTACGAAGATTTTAAAACTGTTGTGTACAACGCCTTTGAGCATTTTGTTTTGTTTTGGATTCATAGCGCTCCTTAAATGTTACATTTAATATTAATCCGAATTTCGGTCGTTACGCGGCTTCCAGTTTGACAAAGTCGCGATTATAAAAATTACCGCAATTCATTTCAGCAGCGCCCTCTACAGTTGAGTTTACAAATACTGGTTGTTTTAATTCAAAATGGCGGCGATGGTATTTGTAAACAGTTCTCCAGTTCCAACTTTGTTCATGACGTGAGTGACTATTCCCTTGTATTTTCCGACATTTTGTATATTTATCAGAAACTAAACAATCAGGGAGTGTTCTAGGCTTGGACCAACAACATAGTTACGATTAGTCTTCATGCATCATCTAGTCATTTCGACTTTTATTGTTATATTATTTTTGACTGTCATACGAAAATTTGTAGAGAATTTCACAACACAACACAATTACAGCAAAGCTCTCCGCAAATATATTTCTTTTGAAGCCCCCACTCAATTACCCCGGTCTAACGTGAGTATGGCTCGTGTGCTAGCGTCAGTGGTGGCGCTGTTAATATTTGCACTCTCAATGACTCGTCTCCAACCCATTCTGACCAACATACTGTTAAAACCCGTCGTCTCAGTGCGTAATTGTCTGACTGAGCACATAGCACAATATTGGGATCTATGGTGTCATATATTCGGCCTGCTACTGACGCACTTAGAACAAGCAGAGGAATTATTTTGTTTGTACATGTACTCAGAATAAATTACCCATGCAGATTATAATTTTCTATGGATGTCAAATCAGTATATATTTCCATCCTGCATACTGATGTGCCACCACTAAACCACGATTTACTATTTGCGATTCCTGATTTTCGATTTTAAATGTAATTGTTGCAATTCCTATAAAAATGCAATTAAAATAAACTCAATTAAATGCAGCTCTGTATCGGGTTGCATTTAAAATTTAGTTTAATT